GCTATGTCCATTTTTGTGGTTAAAAAATGTTTCCAGTTGAGCAGGGACAGGAAAAAAGCAACAGGAAAATAAAAATACTACAAGAATAACAATATGTAAAAATGTGTAACTGAAGTATATGTCAAAAACTGATAATAATTGATAATTCTATAAATTCAACATCGCTGAGTGAAAACCAGAGAGACGTTCTCACATGTACAACATGCCACGCTGATTAATTCACTGAATGGCTGTGTGAACAAATGAATTATGGCAGCAGTCTCTCTTTTGCCAACTGCAGTGCTCAGTGTCTTATTTTCTGGAATAATTGCACCTATTTGTTCTTAACGAGACAATAAGCCCATTTGAAGAGGTGGAGGTGAGGGCTCAACGGGAAAGTCCATCTATACCTACCTCTAAATCTGAAGGAAGGGCTGATTGTCTCTGGCTGAACTCTGCAATCTTCATACAGACCATCACCGTGGATGTCAGACAAGAGCAGACAGATTATAACAGAGTTTCATGAAGAGACAGTCAGCGGATTCTGTTGGACGAGGGCCTAATAGTTCCATGGCTGCTGCTTGTTTAAACTATGTATCATGTGCAAACCAAGGGTTTTACAACTGGTTTTACAAACATGCTCAGAATTAAGTGGTGTCAAAAAAGGGTTGAAATTTAGGCTTGGCCTGACATTTACATAACCGTCAGGTAGACAGAAAACAAGTCTGAGTCGCTCAGATCTCAAAGTTGTTTTTTTTTTCTACTTTAACTTAAAATACATGTTTGTTTTTTTTTCACAGGTTGTTGGACCGGGTGAAGATGACAAGAACTGTATTAGTTGTATAATAAAGCCTTAATTTGTGTTGAGTTATTTTACAAAATAAAATAACATAAAGTCCTCAGGTTTATCAGCTTTTTCATAAATTCTTTTCCTGCATATCTATTATGGATATGTTGTTATAGAATTATGTCATTATAACAACTGAAGCCAAGAGAATGGCTTAAAGTGAACACACTAAAGTGGTAAAGCTTAAGACAAGCATGGGCTAACTACAGCCCGGCAGGGACTAATTATTTTTTGCATTTTTTCACGATGTTAAG